GGGCTAGGACTGCAGAACAGGGCAGGGACACAGAAAGGAGGCTCTGGGAGAAGCCCGCAGCTGCAAGCTGGAAACTGGGAACTCCTGGCTGGAGCCAGTGAATCCACATGTGCATGCAACCACTCTGAGCTGGCTCACAGCCCCTCTCCCCATCCAAGCTAAATATTAACAATCCCATTAGGCCCCCGATAGCATTGTGGCTATTGAGCTCTCCGTGGAACCGCCCCCAGGCCACTGCAACGTGGATGCAGGTCAGGTACTGGGAAGAGGAGGGCAGGGCTTCCCAACCGGGCTAGGCTGGGGGGCTCCTGCTGGGCTGGGAGAAGGGCTGAGGTGGGCAAGGAGAAGCCAACGGAAATAGGGATACAGAGACAGACAACTTGGAGGAACTGAGGCAGGGCACTTTATAATCCAACCAGGAACGACAAAGACTCAGAGAACCGGCTTGTGGCCTTGGCGAGAGCCATAGGGTAGGAATCCTGGGATTCCCTGGCCTCCACGGCACACCTGCTGGTGGGAAGCCCCAGGGGGCTGTGCTTCTGAGGGGGCTGGGGCTGGGCAGGCGAAGGGGCAAAGCTCTACTGGGAGTCCCAGGAGCCCTCACCTGCGGATACACAGCCAGCGCAGGCCCAGATTTGGGACACAATGAACGGAATCAGGTGAATGTACAGGGAAAAGGCGAGCCCCGGCCCCCACTCAGGAAGAGCATCTGCCCTCTATCAGGGTGCCCTGTACTGCCACCTCAGGCCCTGAGCCATACAGTTTCCTCCCTCCCTCCTCTACCCATCTGACTCCTGCTCACCCTTCCTAACTCAAAGGCCACCTCCCTGAAGCCTTCCAAGATCCCCTGTCCAAAGGATGCCTTCTCCTCCAAGTGCATGGATGGACCTTGCTCCTGGTAGGACACATTCTACCGTGTTCCCCATGTGTCTGAGTCTCTGCCTCACCCAGGAGCCATCTGAGGGCAAGCCCCAAGCCTCGGGTTTCTCAGGAACCCTCTCCGGAGCCCTCCCAGGGCAGCCCCTGTCAGCTCAAGTGCCACCTCTCCCAAGAAACTGCTCCCTCCTGAAGCAGGTCCTTTTGTGGATCTCTCTGGTCACATAGGCTCCCCGCTCCCTTTCATTCATCATAATCTGTAACTGGTTTATTTGTTCATGAACTCTCCCCACCCCCGATTCACTCACCTGCACTAAAAACTCTGGGAGGGCGATAAACACATGTGACTTGTGTCTTGTTCCTTTTTAGGTGCTCAACACACGTTTACCAGAGGGCTAAAACAGCACACAGTGGGTACTCAATACACACTTGTCAAATGACTGGCTTCCCCCACCGCGTCCTGCACTTGGTAGGCACTAGAGGAAGGGAGTAAGATTGAATCAGCTCAGCCCTTAGTTTTGTAAACTACCAGCTGTACTGTGAACTGGCAAGGCCTTGTTAGCCACACTGCCTGCCGTGGGACAGTGTCTGCTCCCTATGAGGATGCCCCTGCTTCCCCCTGCCAAGACTTTATCCAGCTCTGTTTTCTGTGATTTGTATCCACAAAGTAATGGGATGCTTCCTGTAAATTATATCTGGCCAATCAGTGGCTCTTTTCCAAGTACACCCTCCAAGATTCTGCCCCGTCCTCTTGGAGGCCAGCTACTCCCAGGGTGGCTGGGGTTGGGGCTGGGGCTGGGGCTGGGCTTGTGGTCACCCCCATGGCCTTGAGTCCCAGCTTTGTCTGGCTAAGATGCGTTATCTCAGTGCACATCTGGGCTGTGGTTCCCGGACAGAATCATCAGGGCTGCTTGTTTAAAAACACTGATTCTTGGCTGTACCTCAGGGCCATGTTACAGACCCAGGCAAGAGGTCCAAGCCAGACCCAGGAATCTGTGTCCTCACCAGCTCCCCAGTGGTTCTGATCCACAATAAGACTGTGAATCTCTAAGGCGCAGGATGGGAAAGCACTTGGCCAGCCACTCAGATGTGAGTTGTCATCCCCATTCCTCTGTGGCCCGGATGGCAGGGCCAGTGCCTGCCAGATTTGGATGGGAGTAGCCCCCTGATGGGTGGCTCCTCACAGGCCACGCAGCAGCTGGTGGGTCCTGTGGGTCTTTCTCAGCTTGCTTGGCGGTCTAACTGGGCCCCATGTGTACCCAGCGCTGGCTAAATGGCCTGCGCCCAGGCCTGGGTGACTTGTCAGGGAGGAAAGGTGCAGAAAGGAGCCAGAGCCAGACATGTCCTGGCCCAGCACCACCTGCATCCTCAGTACCTGCAAGAGGAGGCTCTGACCCAGGAACCTGCCTCTGACAGGCAGCCTCTAAGATGCTGCAGGGCCCTTCTAGCCTGGATGGGTCTGTTCCCTGGTGACTCATTTTGAATGAAGAAAATATAGCAGAAATCATGAGGTATCCCTTCAGAAATCATACTGTAGAAAGATGGTGGCTTCTGTCTCCAGTGTGCTGTCACATTTTCTCTGGGTGAGTCACTCCACACGTGTGGCCCCTGACAACCATGCGAGGGAGCTTGGAAGCCACTTTTCTGCAGTGGAGCCTTCAATTGACACTATGGTGCCAGCTGCCAGCCGGCCTGCACCCTCATGAGGGTCTCGGAGCCAGAGGTCCCACCCTAGCCACACCTGGGATCCAGCCCTCAGAAGCTGTGAGATGATAGAAGGTTGTTGTTTTAAACTGCTCCCCAGGGGTAACTTGTTATACAGCAGCAGATAACAAATATACTTCCTCTTCAAAGTACCCCCTCACAGTGACAGCCCTTCCTGCATCTTCCTGGAGCCCTTGACCATGGTGGAATAAACCAGTTCTCCTAAACAGCTGAGCTGGTTGGTGTCCCCGGGCCTTTATCCTCCAGAAGCTCTGGGCCCCCTACTCAACATATCCCTCTCCCCGGATTCAACTCCAATGTCACTTCCTCTGAGAACTGTCATTTTCTGTGCCCATCACAAGTCTAACACCTCACTCCCTTATTTATTCATAGGTCTCTCTCCCCCATGGACTGTGAGCCCCAGAAGGCAATGCCACAGGTGGATGCTTTTCTGCATTACCTGGTGCTCAGCACAAGGTCTTAACAAGTAGACTCAGTGAGAGTTTGATGAATGAATACGCAAGCAGTGAGTGACTGGTTTCTGGTTTGCCTGTTTCTGTATCCCCCCACTCTGTCTCACCACTGTCCAGGGCTGTGTTTTTTCCAAGAATAGAAAGCTGAATTTGTAGGCTGCGGGTGGGGGGGGGTGTAACTCAGTGGTAGAGCAGATGCCTAGCATGCATGAGGACCTGGTTGTGGTTGTTGTTTTGAGGACCTGGGTTTAATTCTTAGCACCACAAAAAAATCAAAACTGAACAAAACATAAGCAAGCAGACAAATAACAACAGCAACAACTCATTTGTTATCTCCCCCAAGAAACCAGCCCTTTCTCCCAATTTTCTCCTGTCTTTTCCTAAACCACAACTTCCCTGCGAGCTGGTATTCTCTCTTACCTCTGATGCCTCCCCTCCCCGTCTCTGAGCTGTCTTCATATCCCATCCACTTCACTAGCAAAACATCCCCTGACCACACTCCCCTCCCCCAGCACCGTGATATTTGGTCCAGGTGGCCATCATCTCTGGAGACTGCTGCCACTGCTTCCAGGAAACCCACTGCCGCCTTTCTCTGATGCCCCCATTCACCTTTCCAAGAATCTTGAAAATGCTGCCTGCTCATCTCCAAGGCCTGGGGGCAGAAGCCACAGAGGTGGGACCACTGCAGTCATCCCCTCTGCCTAACCTCCCCCTGGCCCTCCAATGGCTTGGGAACAGGATCTACACACAGCCTGGCATTTGGGATACACCGGGATCTGGCCTCAACCTCAGATTCCAATGGGAACACAACAGCAAGTAACATAAGTGGTTTCAAATCCCCCTGCACAACCACCCATCCTCACTGTTCACACTGCGATGCATCTGCTCACACAGGGCTGGGAGATATTATCTCCCTTAGTGAACATCATTAGGCACTTCCTGTGTGCCAGAAACCTTATAAGCACTTTACGTGCGTTAAGCGCTTGACTCCTTGTATACCTTGTGAAAGAGGGTTTTGCACTTGGCTAAGGTTGCGCAGCTAATAACGGGCAAGATCGATTGGAAGCCACATCTTTCTGTCTACACAGCTCCCTTACCACTCGGCAGTACCTCCTACCGTGGGCCATTCCTTATGAAAGCACCAGAGCCAGTGTACAACCTCCCACGTGCTTTCCTTCCTTCTGTCCTGATGATGCCAATATTGCAAACAGCGGTTCTTCTATCCACTCGGCTTCCAGCAGGAGGAGTCTCAAGCTGACCCAGGTTGGACATGTAGCAGTGAGTGAGGAATAAACTCTGATTGTTTTATCACTGCAGCTTAGCATGGCCTATGTTGACCAATAAAGCAAAAGCTCAATAAATGTTAACTCTTTCACACCTAAATGTTATTGATTATAATTTACTCATTTTCTTACATTGGAAACCACAGCACATATTTTGGAACCAGGGATTGAACCCAGAGCCTTTGCACTGAGCTACATCACCAACTCATTTTGATTTTATTTTAAGATAAGATCTCACTAAATTGTTATGCTGCCCAGGCTAGGCTCAAACTTGCAATTCTTCTGCCTCAGCCTCCCAGAGTGCCAGGATCACAGATGTGTGCCACATGTCTGTAGGAAACCACATTACTTTTGTAAGTGAATAAAAATACCTACCATTTGTCATCACAAATAAGCACACAATAATTAGAATGAAAAGTCATTATCCTAATACCAACTCAAGTCATCTGGTATACCTCCCATCCTACGTGCTTGTAAATAATACCACGGGCCTCTCTCTGGGAAGCTAGGCAACGCTGCAGGTTGGGAAACTGCCTCAGACAGCCTCAGGGTTGGTCCTGAGCCTCTCCCCTTGCCAGCCTTAGCCCCGGCTGCCAGGCCCAAACCTTCCACCAATGCCAACTCCATGCATTTGCAGGGGCACCTGCCCTGCCGTGGCCCTTACCTCGGCAGACAGTGCCGTTCTCCACAGCCTCGAAGCCCGCCTTGCACATGCAGCGCCCGATGGGCACCAGCCACTCGCCGTCCCCATTACAGTACAGCTTGATGGGCACATCCACCTCTTCAGCGTTGGCGATGCAGCTGCCCCTGGCGGCTACCAGCGATGTGCTCTCAGCCCCCGACAGCGTCTCCTGGAAGATGGCACCATTCTGGATGACGCGGGGACACTTGCGATAGAAGACACGCACAGCAATGAGGGACATACAGCCACCATAGTCCTGGAAGGCCAGGTAGAAGCCACTGCGGGACACAGGCCCAAAGCTCCGCACCTCAGTGTTGATCTTCATGACCCGGCCGCCCAGGTCAACTTGAGAGAAGCTCTCATCAGCTGCGATAGTGTCCACCTTCACCCACGGATTCTCCATCCAGGTGGGGAAGGTCTTGGTGGCCGAGTCATAGTCAGCCTCGTAGTAGTAGAGGTTGAAGGTCTCCTTGCAGGAGCCGGGCACACTGGGGATGCTGCTGCAGTCACGCACTGAGAACTTCATCTCCACGTGGATGCGGTGGGCACCGCGACGCCGGATGAACTTGGTCCGTAACCAGTTGTTCTGGCTTGACTCAAACACGTTGCACACCTGGTATGTGCGAATCGTGTTCATGTTCTCGTCATAGCCGCTCACTTCTTCCCACTGTGGGTGAAACACCAGTGAGGTCGGGGGAGGCGGAGGGTCAGCCCTAGGAAACACCCTGTCTCATGGGGAGACGCAGACTGTCTTTGTGACCCTCCAGTCTGATGACGGAGTTGTGAAAGAATTCCCGATCTGATGGGGCAGACATGACTTTGACTTCAAGGAATCCCCCAGTCTGTAGAAGTGACACACTACCAATCCGATGGGAAGGACACATGCCCTGCTCTTGGTATTCCCCTGGTAGATGTGGCTCCCACTGTGAGGGGTCCCCTAATCTATAAAGGAGACACAGACTCTGAGCTTAGGAAGCTTCCACCTGCAGGAGGAAATGGGAGGTCCCTGACCTAGGGAGCTCCTTCTGATGAAGGTAGATGGTTCTGTGCCTGGGGGCTACCAGTCTGATAGGGTAAGACAGAACTCCTGCCCTCTAGCAGCTCCCTGTCTGATCCAGGAGGTACTGTCCTCGCCCTTGGGGACTCTGAGTATGATAGAAAAAGACAGTTCTCACTCCCGTTGACCTCCTAGTATGATAGGAAAGTCAGGGCATTTCTCTGGGGCTTTCAGCTGCTAAGATTCCTGAGAGCTGGCTGACCTCTAGTTCATAGAGGGAGCCTGCCTGCCTTCCCCTCTTGCCAGAAAAGAGGCTCCAGCACCCATGGGATCTCAGCCTGAGCATCAAAAATCTGACTGAGAACCAGAGAGCCTCCGTGCTGCAGAGGGCTGGGCCACTTGACAGGAAGTTGGGAAGGGCACAGTGCCCACGGCCCTGCACACAGACACACACAAGGGCCTGGCACATTTGGCCCCCTTGGTCTGGTCTCCCTAGTGGGCCAGATAGCGTGCTGAGGGGAGCTCCCCATCCTCTCCTTCTCTCGGGTCCCTCGTGACATGGGGCTGGCTTCACCTGGATAGACGGAAAAGGGCCCCAGCAGCACAGCCTCCCCTCTCATCAGGATCCTGGGGCTGGGTACCCTCATAGTGTCATTTCTTTGTCATGACATGCACATATGGCATCACTGCCCCATTATTCGGCAGAGAGAGCAGAAGAGGGCAAGTGAGGCCACCCGACTGACCCCAGGTCAGACGAACCCAGAGCCAGCCATGTGCTTGCCTGTGCGGTCTCAGAACACAGCGCTGCTAACTAACGTGATGCATAACCTTGGGTCAGTCCCTCAGCCTCTCTGGGCTACCATCTCCTTCACTGCCAAATGGGACTATGAGACTGGCGGATGTTAGGAGAGGTGCCACCCACCAGTGGGTGTTCTTTGTCCCTTTGCCGCTCAGATTCCCTGGGCCAAGTCTGCCCGGGGAATGGTCAGATGCGACAAGGGGTGACTCTGGGAGGGGAGGCCAAGCTGGGGCTTGCTAGCCCAGCCACTCCAGCAGTGGCCACTCTGAAGCTCTCTACATTGCATTTAATCGTTTTTTTTTTTTTTTTTGGTGGCACCATGTGACAAAGTCAGCCCCTTGTTACAACCGCTGCTCTTCTTCAGAACTTAATTAGAGCACTTAATTAGAGCACTCTGCCTTTCTCCCCTCTCTCTAATTAACATGCGGAGGCCCTGCAGCCCAAACACCCCAAATAATTGCGTCCGGGGGCCCTGAAGCCCAGCCTGGCCTCATTACTGGCAGGGTGGGGCTGTGGGCCCAGCCGCCTTTGCAGATGGAAAATTGGTGACAAGAAAGAGCCACAGAAAGAGGCCTGACCCTGGGGCCCTGCCTATTGAGAGCACAGGCCTGGAGGGGGGGTGCAGCTCCCAGGGGCTGCAGCTGAGTCTCAGTGGAGATGAGGTGGGGGGAAGGGAGGAATGGGTCGTGGAGTTCAGCGCCTTCCCCAGAGACTGGAAGTATTAAAATCCATGACAGTGATGATGATGATGGTGATAATCGTCATAGCTATTAATACTCTACTGGGGGCCAGCCTTAGATACTTCGCAAGTAACCTCACAATGGCCCTTTGAGGAAGTCAGCTTTACCATTTCATAGACAAGGAAGTCAAAGCTCAGAAAGATTGAGCAACTGGCTCCATACCACACAGCTCATGGGGGGCAGAGGGACAGCATTTTTGGAATGTTTGATCCTACATCCTCTCTGCAACTGGTAGGCAGAAAGGAATCTTCACAGATGTGGGCTCAGAGGACCCAAATGGGAACCTAGAAAAGGGGCAGAGAGGACTTGCTCACAACCCTGGATACAAACTTGAGCCCCAGCTGGGGTGCATTTCAGTGGTAGGGTATGTGTTCTGTATGCATGGGGCCCTGGGTTCAATCCCCAGCACCAAATCAAGAAAAAAATAACTAAAAACCCCACCCAAAACACAAAATCAAAAACAAACCTCAGCCCCTTCACTTATTAGTTGTAGGGTCCTGGGCAGGTAGCTAAGCCTCCCTGAGCTCCAGTTTCCTCGCCAGTAAAAGAGAGGTAATTCTCCCTGTGGTCCCGACTGGAGATGATGTGTATAAAAGGTGCTTGATACAGCGAATGACATAGAATGGGTATTCAGGAAGTGACAGTTCACTTTCCTCATCTGAAATAGGGGCTGATCTAGCACCTACTTCTTGGCCTTGCCTTGAGGATTCCATGGGATAAAGGCTAAAAGCATCCAGCAGGTTGCCATGGTAACGGGTGCTCCATCAATGATAGGGGATTGGGAGGTGGGACTCTGAGTGCTGAAGGGGAGAGAGGGACTGCAGTGCGAGGGGCTTTCAGGCCCTGCAGCAGATGCCCAGGCATCCTGGGGGCCAAGTGAGGTTTGGGGACCACCAACTCACCCCTGATGGGGGATGCACCATCCAGCCCAGCTCAGCCGTCGCGGTAGTGGAGTCCATCAGCGTTTCTGCAGGGAGAGCAAAGAGTCACCACTTTGCCTTCCCAGTGCTGTCAGTCACTCTGTCCTGACCTTAAGATCCCTCCCCTTGAGGTCTTTCCCTTACAGACCCCTGCCTACCTCCACTGCTCCAATCATCCAACTCTAATCCTCCAGACCACACTCCCTTGGATCCTGCCTCTTAACTCCATAATCCCACCCACTCTTAGAGCCCAGCCAATCATCTTACTCTACTTTTCAAGGTTCTGCCCTTCTAGTCCCAATTCCAGGACCTCTGTCCATGGTCAGCAGCACCCCCCCTCCCTGCCATCAGCCAATCATGTCTCACATTCCTCTCCTTTTCCTGTCGGGTAGGCTCTTAACCTGGGTGTTCTAGATGGGTTCCTGAGGATCCATCACCAAACATTAAACATATACCTTACATTTTGGGTATCTGTTCACTTTTCAGCTTGTGTCAAGTTCTCAAAAACTGGAATAGGAGCCTTAGAGGGGTCTCTATTCCACCCCACTGAGCACCATCAGGTACCCTGCCCTGCCTCTCTGGCCTCACATTCTGTAACCTTCCTCCCTTTCCTCTATCACCTCCTGTCCCATCCCTCCATCCCTGAGAGGTAAGGGGGCCAGTTATCACCTGATGCTGGGGCTGCAGGAGACTCAGAATCAGCTTCTGAACTAGCAGCTGGAGGGAAGGGGTCACACAGCCTGGGGTGAAGGGGGTCTCCTTCAGGAGACCTAGAGATCCCTACCTCACCCTAGCTCAGGCTCAGGACCCCTCCCTTTTACCTTTTCTCTGCCTAAAGGGCTTCCAAACACTTTTTTGAACTGAACTGCAATGCACTGAACAGATTTAAATAGACCCCCTTCAAGCACTCACTCAACAAATAGATCCCGATGCTCATTCTGTACTAGGCAACGTGCTGGGTACCTCGAGCAGGAAAACAGCAAATGGCAAAAGCCTTCACTCACACCATGATAGTAGAGATGATGTGGGAATAGAAATGGCTATGACAGAGTAGGTGGAGGAACTTAAAAGGTCACAGGGGCATCATGCATGGCACTTAGCTCAGTGAGGATAGGAGGTAGCCTTGCTCCAATTCTGTACCTGGCGCAGACATCACTAATCAATCCCCACATGCTGTGGCCATACAGAGCTTCACAGCATGGCACTCCAGGAAGCCAACACTGACTACTTGAGTTGTAGCCCAACCGCCTGTTTCTGCAGAATGAGTAGCTGGTGCACAGGGAGGTATGGGGAGAACCTCCACAAGGCCACAGGGGAGTTAGTGGCAGCGTGGACGTACAGGTGTCCTGTCACCCTATACATTTCTAGAATGTTGAAATAATGAGTTTGATGGTCCAGGCCGGATGCATCAGGGCCAGAAGACAGGGGCAGAGTGCCCAGTCTCCAGCAGTCGAGCAAATCCAAATGGGAGGTAATGAGGGTGTGACCTACAACCAGGGCGGTGGGGATGAAGGGCAGGGGGAGAGGAAGCATTTGGCTAGAGGTGACCCCAGTTAGACCCCTGAGCTGACGGGAGAGGATGCAGAAGCGTCCCCTTGATCGCCTGTGGCTTGTGTTTGTGGTCACTGTGTCCCTTTACACTGGGGGCCGGTGCAGGGAGGGGGGCAGCCGGAGGACGCCAGGGACGGTGGAGCCAGTGCCAAGGGCATCTTTTTGATGGCAAATTGGAGGGAAGTTCTATTGTGCAGCTTTGGAGCTGAAGAAAGGGCTCCTTTTCACACTCTGAAGGCTACAGATTTTTCTTCCTGGAGAGAACAAGGGCTGAACTTTTCACCTGTTTTCTCTCATCGGCCTCAGCCCGAGACGCGCCAAGCCGGGCTCTCTGCCTGCGCCTGAGGAACAGCTGCTGGGAGTTGTGCAGACAAGGGAAAGGAGAGACCGCCCAGGACCAAAAGGGGTCGGGTGGGGGCGACAAGCCTGCCAAGCAGGTGGCCCCACCCCTTGGCTGGATTCCTGGGCTGACCCAGAGGACAAGGGCTGGAACGTTCTATATTCCAGAGAAGGAGGGGCTGGGAACCCATGTCTTCATCGTACGGATGGAAACTCAGGCTCAGGGAGTGCAAATGACTTGCCAAAAGGCAAGAGGCTCGCAAGTTCAAGCCCAGCCCGGGCTACTGAATAACTTAGTGAGGCCCTATGGCAAAATATAAACAGGACTGGGAGGTAGGTCAGTGTGAAGGACCTGGGTTCAAATCCCAGGCTCCTCAAAAAGCCAGGTAGGGGGTACACCGCCCCCTTTCCTGCTCCCACAGAACATGCTAGGTGGGAACTGGTAAGGACCGGAAATAACCAGTTGCCTGGTTCTCCCACAGGAGGCATCCCTTTACGTCCCTCTACACTCTGCATCCCACATCCCTCTACACTCTGAGAGACCTTGATTCTCTTACATGCCTGGTAACCTTGGGCTTTTTAAAATTTCCAGAGCATGATGCATTTCAGGCAAGAAGTTTACCACTGAGCTACACCTCTAGTCTCAACTTTGGCCCTTTCTAAGCCTCAGTTTCCTTACCTGGAAGATGGCCAAAATACCTCCTGAGTGTGAATGTACAGTCTAACCAGGAGGAGAAGAGGATCAGCGTGGGCCCTCGTACCGCACAGACCCTCAGGAAGTACCAGCTATTATTTTTAGCTGGAGTGCAGCACCTTTTGGCCCACCCAGTTCTCGCACACATGCCACTTCCTGTGGGCTCATTAGGTGGGCCCTGAAAGTGAAGGTGGGTCCAAGAGGCTCCAGTTTAATCTGGCTGGCTCCCCACAGCCCCCAGACCGCACTTGCCAACATCTGACAAACATCAGCTTCTCTCTGGATGGCCACAGCCTCTGAAGAGCCCCTCCTGTTCACTTGATGCCATTTCCCTGAGATGCCCTGCATTTCCTCTTGTGCCTCTCAAACCAGGCACAAAAGTCCCTGTTCCTAGGGGAATCTGGAGTTGGTCGTTTTTACCACAGGAACCTAGATAGGTTCGGGAAGCCAAGCCCCATTTCTATTACCAGCACTTCTACCTCCACATCAAACCCCAGATATTTCTCCTCTAATCTGCAAATCTACAAAGGTTGAGAGCTCATATCTATTAAGACCCTTGAATACCCACACAACAATGCCAGGAGGTACTTAATATACTCCCATTTCACAGATGGGAAAACAGAGGCTTCCAAAAGCTCAGGAACTTTCCCAAGCTGCTCTCCCCGTGCACAGACCACTGTCTCTCATACCCACATCTCACACGTACTGTTCCTTCTCACCCTCTGCCCTCCACGCCTCCTTTGCCTGCCCCTGTGCTCCTCATCTGTGAAGTCCCAACTCAGGTCACCTCTCCCAGGAAGTCCTCCAGCACCCACTCTGCCGCCTGCAGCCACTGGTGTTTCAAGGGGCCCCAGAACTTGCAGGTGTCCTTGGTGGTGACTGTCCTTGTTTGCTTTTCCTCTTCCCATGGTCTCTGTGCCCCTGGAGGGTAGGTACTGGGGTGTCCAGGACTCTCACCCCCACCTATGGGCTTGAACACACCCTGGAGTCCTGCTCCATCGGGGCAGCCCGGGCTGGAGCTATTCATGTAGACAACATGACCTCTGCCTGCCCACTCACACCTGTGCTATGATTTAGTTACTATTTTCCTTTCGACTCTTTTTTTTTCCTTAAGTGCATTTTAAAGAGAAAAAAAGTAAGCATTATTATAAATGGAAAACCAATATCACTTGACATAAAAAGAAGGAAAACAAACATAAGACTATTACAATTAGAAACATTCATCTGCGTGCTACCTGATATCATTTTGCTTCCCACGCTTCGGGGGCCACTGAGCTCCACTAGCTGCCTCTGAAGTGCTGGAAATGTCCCCATCCCCATCCCCACTGTGACAATGACAATCCCTCACGCAGGGAAGCTGCTGTCACTGTACACAGATAATTAATCACCCTCTGGATGTGACAAAGACCACAATGGGGATGTGTGGAGCGCACGGTGGGCTATGTGCAGGAGGACAGGGAGAGGATGCCGAACGTAGCGATGGCTTCCTGGAGGAAGTGGTGCTGGGGTGGAGGCTGGAAGAGTGTGCGCTGGTGGTAGGCAGAGGGCACAGCCGGGCAAAGGTGAGAAGGGCAGCAAGAGTGTGGCTCATGGGAATTAGGATGGAGCAAAGGGCGGGGCACGCAGCTGTGAGAGCTGAGCTGAGTCTAGGGGGCTGTGGAGTCCTGCTCCTATTCAAGGGCATCGACTCCCTGAAGCTCAGAGTGCCCACCTAAAAAAACCCAATGGACAGATGAAGAAAGTGAGGCTGCACAGATTCTTAGCATCCAGATAAAAGCTAGAACCAGGGTCCTCGGCCCAGAGCCAGTTGGGGCCTGGGAGCAGCTCTGGCTGTAACTCCACAGTGCCCTAAACCCTCTCCCTCTTGGAGCCTGCACAGAAGAAAGCAATCAGGAGGCCCTGATTGCACAGGCTGGGAGGCCCCGTCAGCCCCTCCAGCTACGTGTGAATGAGCAGTGTACATTTCAGAAATATTTGAGCTAAAAAGGGAGACACACTGAAGTCGTTAGTGTTAGGCGAAACAGGAGGTGGCTGTGGGGGCCCCTGCTCTCAGGCTGGGGTGAACGGTTGTCCCTGCTCCCTAGGCCATCCCTGGCCAGCTCTATCCAGGGCTATGCTTCCCTAGGGCCACAAATGGTATTTGTCTGTGCTCTAAGTACATGAGCATTCCAAAGACGTGAGGAGGGGTCTTTTGTTAATCACCTATTGTGTGCCAAGGACTGCAGGACATGCTGAATACTGCTATGGACTCAGAACAGCTAAAGGGATCTGTGCTGCTATGTACCCCATTTTACAGATGTGGAAACTGAAACCGGGAAGAGGAAGGAACCTGTGCCAGGGCACACAGGCAGGGCCAGAAATAGACATCAGTTTCTACATCTGTGTTATTTTTATGATGCTATGGCCATAGCATTAAAAAATAGACAACACAAAACAAGAATACTATCACTGTGTGTGTGTGTA